ATATATATATATATAATAACCATTAGAATTATTGTTTATTCACCGACAGAAATCTTCTTTTTTTTGCATTATTTTTTTTTAAAAAAATACACTTAAATAAAGACATTTCTTTTAATTAAATAAGTAATTAATAGAGTAAGTGTATTATGAATGTTAAAAGTACGATGTCATCAATTAGATTTTAATCATGATAAATTAAGTAATAATGTTTTATATATATTAAAAAAAAAGGATAAGAGGGAGTATTTTTTTTATATAGAATTATAGAACTCTTTTTTTTTTTTTACTGAAAGAGAATTAGAGAAAGTTTTAAGGGGGTAAAACTATGATTTAATCAAATGTAATTATATTTTCCCAAAATTAAAGTTATTGAATGACTTTATCAATTATTGCCTAAAACCTTAAATAACAATTATTTTGAATAAAGGAAGTGATATTCATATTTTATTTATTCATAAGTACACTTAGTAAAACTCCTATTTTAAAATATAAAAATTCATGAAACAAAAAACTCTGTAATTATTTGATTGTAGTTGGGTTAGTACACATCACACCATTTGAGTACATTGAGGTAACATTTGACATACCGATAAAACAGAAAAGGGGGTCCTTTTATGTTCTTCACACTTCACAGTTTCACCCTTTTTCAGTGTGGCTAAGATATAGTAGTACTACTTTAGCTCGACGACCCTTTTATTTTATTTTAAAAACACATTACACATGAAACAAGGTTCACTAGTATGTTCCGTGTCGTTTTAACAAGTCTTACCACCAACTGCTTAGTGTGCATATAAATCCAACAACTTCTGCAAGAAAGCGACTTCTGAGAAATAAATTAAAAAATATAAGTGCTGATCTCTAAATTGTGCTGCTGAGCTTATCTCTAAATTATGCTGCTAACATTTAATTGGACATTTACGAGAATGGAAAGGTTAAGACCATGATATGATTGCCCATTTTACACTTTGAAAAGTTACAAAATAATTACTAAAAAAAGAAATATCAGGACGGGCTAAACAAATACTATGTTGGTTTATTTATATTCTCAAAGGGTCCACAGTTGACAAAAAGTCAATAATCTATGTAGCTTGATAAGGCCTTTTTTGACAAAGCTTTCTTGGATGTTATGATTACTAATCCAAGTCAATGTCAGGTTCCAAAGCACAGAGAAATTAACACATGAAATGCAATGAACCAGGTGAAAAAATTTTATTCTAAAGAGTTGTTTAAGCATTTCAAGGGGCGCTATATCTAGTCATAAGAAACTAACCAACCGTTGAAGAATGCATGAAGAGACAAAAAAGGGTGTCCCCAAGATACACTCAAAATCAGGCACCAATCAGTGACGGTTGCTTTCTAATGACAGTATGTACACTTCCCTGCTCTCAGTGCCTGTTGTTCCATTTGGGAAATGTAAGAAGCCATTCATGACAAAAAGTTGATATTGATTAGCCAGCCAGCATGTTCATCTTTCACAAATATCCTACTATGAAGTTGGCAATGATGTTAATGCATTGACATTGTTTCCATCAAGATAGCTGGATGGTACTGGTAGGCCTGGTGCTCAGAAGCATCTAACTGACCCCACCAATTATACTCATGAAATGATGCTATTACAACATATTATGGGACCAGGATGCAATGCTAAAAACAAAATGTGGGGAGACAGGTGGTTGATAACATATTTGTACACATGGGAAAAGTTCCAATTTTGTGTAATGCTTATCTACTTGTTTTATGAACAGAAGCACAAACAATTTTGAATTTTATAGTAATGAATCAGAGTATACAAAAGAACCCCAGGTTGAGGTAGGTAACAACTGGGGCATTATGCAAACCAAGGGGGGAGACTAATCGCTTCTTTCATCATTCAAGTAAAAATAAATATTGGCAAACTACTAGGAAGAAAAATAATATGACACATTGCTTTAGTTATCATATTACAATTATCTCCATCTGGTGGGTTGATGGTGATATCTACTACTATCATCTTCACTTTGACTTTGATCAGTGATCTCTCCACCTATCTGCCGTCTATCTACTCTTGAGTCCCTATGCTCTAGTTGATAATCACGATGAGAACGGGAAGATTCTCCCCCAATCCTTCGATCCTACAGACAAGAAGGACAAAAGAAAAGAGATAAGCATCAGATTATAGCAAAATTGAACTTTCTTATTGTTAGTTGAGTCGACTACAACGGAAAATTTGAGATGAAAAAAGAACACACATCACGGAATAAGAGGTCCTCAGCCTCTAGCATGTGGATCACATGTCCTATTTTAGGCCTTTTTTTGGCATCAGGGTCAACACATCGAAGAGCAACCAACAGAGCCCGTTTAAGAGCTTTTGAGGATGGCTTTTCAGAAAGCTTAGGATCAACTACTTCCTCGGATTTTCGATTCCCAACCATAGTTTTCAACCAATCTATTAAATTAACCTGCAATAGTTCCAATTTCCACGGTTAGGGAAAAGGATATGGATAACTGCATAGAGAAGTATAATATGAACAATATCAAAACTGTTTACTGTGTTGGTAATGGATTCTAACCTCTCCTTGTGGTCTACTATAGTCAACAGGGCTTCTTCCAGTAATTATTTCCATGATAAGTATCCCAAAACTATACACATCACTCTTCTCTGTTAGCATTCCAGTGCATGCATACTCTGGTGCAACATAACTGCAGAAAGAGAAAGGGGAAGAATCACTGCCCGTGGACCTTAAATTTGAGAGTAATAATAACCACGAACTCATTTTGCTCTTACAGGAACCAAAAGTAATTATAATTGGCAATAAAGATAAGAAAATGCTTAGTTAAATCATACTTACCCAAATGTCCCCATTACTCGAGTGGTGACATAACTATGCTCAGCATACAAAAGCTTAGCAAGCCCAAAATCAGAAACCTTTGAGTTCCACTGACGATCAAGCAGTATGTTGCTCGATTTCACGTCTCGGTGGACAACTTTTGGTTCAAGACCCTCATGAAGATAAGCCAATCTGAAAAGATAACACAGAAATCACCAGTGATAAAAACCTTTCAAGCATCGACATGGATATATGTGTACGCATACAAGACCGTGAATATAGTACCCTTTTGCCGTGCCCAATATAACGTTCATTCGGATATCCCATGTCATAGGGCTTACAGGTCCAACATCCCCATGCAGCCACTGTTCTAGATTCCCATTTTCAACATATTCATACACAAGCATCCTGCAATAAGAATATCGAATATTCACTACAAAATTCAAATGTTACATTCTTCAAAACAAACTTGCTAGCTTCAATGTTAAAAAAAATACCTGTATGCCCCCTCAACACAATATCCAAGCAACCTAACAAGATTCTTGTGCCGCACTCGACCAATCGCTTCTACCTCTACTTTAAATTCTCTCTCAGCTTGGCCCCTGAAAATGAGCTAAATATTAAGTGCTTACTTCCTAAGAGAGACAAAGCCAATGCCAAGACCACATTAGTTTCACTATACAGCAACAGTAAGTAATGGAAAAATCCAACAAAGTATGACACTACAGAAACTCTTGACAAGTGACAACATTATCAATTCAGTAGTAACAAACAAGGAGCCGAAAAGAAAATTGATTCTTTCCTTGACATAAGTGAGCGACTTTATAACACAACACCCAGCAGCAGAAGACAAGAATAACACATGAAAAAGAAAACTGGTTTAAAAAGTAGAAAACAGTAGTAGCAAGAGTAAGACAGAAGAAAACACGAGCAAACAATAAAAAAGCCAATCACTGTTCACCGTAAGCATTAGTTTACTTGAAGCAACTGATGCAAGTAAACCCAGATTCCAAACCTAACACAAACACTCATTTAGCTCAACCCAAGCAATTTTTCTTCATAAAAAACTCCCTAAAAAAATTCCCTTACGCGTAAGCCAGATTTAAAATGCCAAAGAACCACATAAAACCATGAAAATTTCACTCCCAGGAAACCATATTAAGAAACCCCAATTCACATAGACACCAATTTTTGATTAACAAAGACCCAACTTCAGATCATAAAAACTTGATTTTTCCTCAGACACCTTGATTATTCCCTCCCGGCCAAATAGACAAATTTAATTATTACATTTCTTAAAAATTTGATCTTTAACCGAGTCAAACGGTGACCCATGCAGGCGAAGTGACTCATTAGGCTTGCAATTAAACTGAATTATGATTATAAGAAACCGAAGCACATAAGAAGAGGGACATACTTATTATTCAAAAGGTTCTTAACAGCAACCTTGGTACCATCAGGTAACAAGCCACGATACACGATACCATATCCACCTTCTCCAATGACGTTCTCTTCGCACAACCCATTCGTGGCGTCTTCGAGTTCCCTGAGAGTGTACCACCTCCCCCACCCGAGATGCGACACTTCGGGGCCCACGCTCCCGCTCCCAATCGACGACGCCGTTTCGCAGGCGCTGGCGGCGCCCCGGCTCTCTCCGCTGGAGTACAGAGCCGCGGCGGGGGGAGGCGGCGGCGCCTTGGGGGGCTCGACGGCGCGGATCTCCGGCGGCGCGGGGACGTGGACGATCTCGAGGATTTCCTTGGAGACGAGAGGGGTGGCGGCGCGGCGGCGGAGGGGGTGGTTGCGGCGGCGGGAGGTGAGGCAGAGGGAGAGGAGGAAGAGGGTGATGACGATGAGGGATCCGACGAGGATCCCGATGAGGACCCAGAGGCGGAGGCCGAAGATGGAAGTGCGTTTGGATAGCTCTGTGTTGACGAACGCTGCGTCGTATATTGACATGGTGACTCTGTCTTAGGAAATGGGTGCCATTGGTTTTGAAGCAATTGGAGATGAGAAAGTGTGTAAGAGAGTGAGTGTGTGAGTGAGAGAGAGCACACAGCACACAGGGACTGATAAAAGGTCTATTTTAAATATAATTTATATATTTAAAATTTTCTAGGAATATTATTATTTTTAATTAGTAAATTAAATGTAAAAAATTAACTTTTTCAAATTTAATTTTCTGAATAAATAAAAAAGTATTTTTGGACCAAGTATCTATTGGATGTCTTGCCTTTGCAATGGGAACAAATGCTACTAATACTATGACAAAAAAATTGTAAATTTTGGTGAGTTCTATTTCTAAATTATGAGACTTCTTAAATGAATTGTGAAACATGTCTAAATAAATTATCTTTAATAAAATTCAGTCACTGGTTAAAAAAAGTATAAAAAAATGTTGAAGAGAAGGTTAGTATCATTCTTCTTTCATGTATGGACATGGTGTAAATTAATAAATAAAATAAAATGTAAATGGGTAGATAAAGACTTTCAGATATACTCTTTTGGTCCTCTGATCGTGTTTCTTATAATGGATTGAAAATTATTAAAAACTATAAAATTATAAGATTATAGAATAAAATACTGAGTTTTGTGTTTTTTAACAACTTTTAATAACTCTTGAAAAATGTATTCCTATATTTGTTTTTAAATCGATAAGATTGTTACATAATTTATATGGGAAAAAGATGTTGGTATTACGTTTTTCAAATACATTTTTTTAAAATATATTTTTAAAAAAACTTTTTATTAATTAAAATTGATAAGAAATCACCGACTTTTAATATAATTTTTTAAAACAATTTTATATATAAAAATACGAAGAATTATATTGAACGAAAATATTTTTTGAAACTTTTTTACGATAAATTTTTTTAAAATTTTGTATCTAATTCAATATTTATTTATTACAATTATTTATAAATCAATTTTAACATTTTTATAATAAGTTATCAATAAATTAAAACAATGTAGCATAAAAATATAAATTATTTATCATAAATTTAAAATATAATTT